CCCCCCCCCCCCCCCCCATTCAGGCGTCAACAATATCCTCCATAAACTCCCGAACGGGAGACCTCGGGTGGCGCCAGGTTCTCTCCCCAGAGGACACCATCCTCGCGACATCACTACCCCCGCGCACCCACAGCTCCAGTAACTCGGGCACGGCGACGGTCTCCTCCGGCGGCCGCATCGTCCGCCTGTGGTCTCCCGCCGACGGCAGCATGATATGGGAGACTTTTCTCGGCCGCGGGGGGGACCCCCCCTCGACGGAGCAGCCGGAGGCGCCGCCGTCGGAGAGCAGCGCGGCGGGCGTGGTCTCGACGGAGGGGGGCTACGTGGTGGTGCTAAGCGCCGGGGGTATTCACGTCCTGTCGGCCAGCTCCGGGGCGGTGCTCGGACAATGGTGGTGCCAGCCGGCGCGGGAGCCGGACCTGGCGGCCGTGGTCGGCCTTGATGTTCAGGTATGGCAGTGGTCCCCGCAGCAGTTGTAGTGGCCGCCAGATTCACCGGCGCTGGTAGGTTCACCGACACTGGCATGCCGGGCAACCGACGTTGTTCAGAGAATGAGATGACTTGAATATTTCTGTCCATGTCCATGTCCATGTCCATGTCCATGTCCATGTCACGCGATTTCGCCGGCATAACTACGTCGGGCAGCGGCAGCATTCAACCGGCACTTTTGAGGGACCTCCGTTGTATTGGGCGGGGGAAGTGATTGTTCCTCCTGGGGCTGGGGTATGATAGTTGGTTAAGTCGGTGATTCTTTGGGAGGTGTCCTTTTCCACGGGCTGTTCGCCCCCCCTCCGCGGTAAATTCCAAGTCGATTTGGTCAAGAGTGTTTTCGAACGTAAAACGCGTTCTTCCTTGGTGTTGCTCGGAGAAACGCGGTGAAACAACGGCACCGAAACCCCATGGTGAGAGAAGCATGCCATCCCCGATGGCCGCGAGTCCCCGCACGGAACCAAACCTTCGCTGGCACCTTCTCTAGTAGCCCTTCACATCATGCGTTGGGTTCTCTTCGGAGTTGACGATTTTTTTTTTTTTCGCGTCTATCCAGGTGGCGTTCACGTCGCTTCGCTTGGCGGCGGGCGGCGGCGGCCGGCTGCTGGCCGGCGGCTGGAGCATGAAGAACGGGTCGTCGGAGGCTGATGCTTTCGTGGTGGCGGAGATCAACCCCTCCGAGCGCCTGGTTACCTACAAGGCTGCCACGGTGAGAGCGTGTTGAGGTTTCCATTCTGTTCTCGCGTTTTTTTCTTTTGTTGCCTTTCTGGTGGTGCGCGAGGGTAGGTGGGTCCTTGTTTGGCATGCCGGTTCAGGGTGGGGTGGCATGCATCGAGTGCATTCTGTGCGATATGATTGGCGTATGCAGGTTGTGGGTGCCACGGGGATCGTCACCTGCGGGTGGTTCTGATTCGTTGCGTCGAAAACTGGCCGTGGTATCGAGATGTTCGCTGCCTTTACGGGCCGGGACCAACCAACGACAATAAACGCTGCCGTTTGGGGATATATTTTGCATCCGAGCGATGATCGATCCCCGCTATTACATCCATCTTCTTGCATACTACTCTGATGCCAACCCCGGTTTCAACTTCACTCTAGGGGAGCCACGAAATAGTCCAATAGGGTCGCGCCGCCCGTCAGCGCACATTCTTCTGAACATCACCCCACCTCTACTTAGGTGAGTGGGATGGGCGTTGATCCATCCGCGGGGGTATCGCTAGCCCACACCCACGGCGGCTGTGGCGCTGGCGGTGGCGGCGGCAGCAGCAACAGCGGCGACAAGAAGGGACTCGCCGTTGTAGGCGTCTCCCGCGACGGGTCCTCGCTCGCCGTCTTTCCCGCAGCTTCCGACCCCCCCCTTGCCTCGCGGACGCCCCTGCCGACCGACCTGCGCGGCGCAACCGGTGCCGTTTTGGGAGTGGCCGAGCTTGCGGGGACCGACGGGGGGGTCCTCGAGCTTCGGCGAGCGGACGGGGGCTCCGTGGCGGTGTCGTTGTCGAGCGGCAAGGGCGGCAAGACTTGTGCCGTTTCGGGCCTTGATGGCGCGAGGGAGGCGAGGTCGTGCGCCGCGGGGGGCGGCGGGTGTGCGCTTGCTGGAGGCGTGTCCGTGTCAGGGAAGACGTTCGTGGCGTCGGCGTCTATGCTGCAAGGAGGTTAGTGAAATCCTACATTATATATTTTTTTGTTCAGCTGAGTCGTTGGAGGAGAGGCGGGGGGTGGGGAAGGTCGAAGGCGATGAACGTTTGTTGTTTAGGCCAAGAGCACTCAACGGTAGCTCGATGCGAAGGAAACGTCGTCGGGTGCGGTCCAGGTCGGGAACATAGGTCAGTATTTAGGCTTTATCGACCACTACCCCCCAATCATTGATGAGCCTACAGGGAACACCAATCGCGTGAGGGTGTTCCAGCTAGCTGCTGGCAAGCATTGCATACACCATCGCCCAACGGCATACGCTACACGGAACCGAGTGACAAGACACCCACGACCGCATCTTTGTACCGTCTCCCAGGCCCGATCGACAAGGTGATCGTGAGCGTGGCAGAAGTTACCGCCTTTGGCGACTTCACGGCGGCGTTGGTAGACTCTTTCGAGACCTCGTCGCCTGGGCTAGGAGGAGCCGCGTCGGGACGGATCGAGGGGGCATTCTTGGACGTCGGGGAGCAGGGGTTCCGGGTGTTGGTCGTGAGCGAGGATGATTCCGCTCAGATGGTGGGCAGGGGCGGGGTGGAGTGGGTACGGGAGGAAGCGCTGGCCGTGGCAGACCAGGCGAGGACCCCTTTTTTTTGCTCTCAAGATTCGGGTGTGTGTTTTGCTCTGCATGTTTCGACGGGTGGATTGGTTCAAACGCTGGTAAAGGTGGATTTTCACCGCATGAGGTGCACACCAAATCCCCGTCAGCTTGCTCACAATAGACCCTTTTGTACTATTATACCATGCCGACGTTATTCAGTATATGTCGGCTGCGTTTCAGAAGTTTCGCAAGTGAAGTTTTAGCGCGAAAATGGGGAGTACCCGCAGATACCGCGAAGCGGCTCGACCTGAGAAGGCTCCACCAACGCGGTAAGAGATTGGCATCGTGTTCCAGACAGACGATCAACAAACTCTTGATGAACCCAACATTTTTCCTTCGCCGTGACGAGGCATCAGGTGGTCTTCGTGGACTCGTCGAAGGATGAGCTGGCTATTCTCGCCGCTTCTGCCGGGGAGGAGATTGACCACGACGTGCCGGGCTGGAGGGAGAGGCTGCGCCTTCATCGCCTAGAGCTGACGGTGATTATGTGTTTGGCTTTCTCGTTCTTCTTCTCCGTCGTTGTTGTTGTTGCTGCTGTTGCTGTTGCTGTTGCTGCTGCTCGGTTGCTTCCAAGCCAAACTGCTGCATATTCATTTGCGAGAATATAATTATGGTGGCTTACAGAAGTGCCATATCTCTTGCCGGCAACGGTCAGAGATCAACACGGCCTGAAGCGTGAGGTAGACGTGTTTGCGATGACAGCTCCGCAGGATGTATGTGTGGAACAAATTGAATCCGGTGCCGCTGTTTAGCACTTGCTTCGTTTCGTATGTACGGTTTTCGCCTCTCTTCTCGTTGCTTGATTGTGTTTTGCATCCGCGTGGAAATAAAACACCCGGTTTCGTGGTTAGAAATCACTACCTCGTTGGTGATAGTTTGTACTTCTATCCTCTGCACACCCTGTACAAATACAGTATTTGGTAGTTGATTGGGAATCAACTACTTTCCTGAAAAGCTGCGCAATTATTTGGTTCCAGTCAACTATTGTTTTGAAAAGCTGAGCAACTATTTGATAGCAATCAACTACTTCCCAGAAATGTTGAGCAAATGTTTGATTGCAGTCAACTACTGTTAGACCTCGAGATTAGAAGTTTTTCAGGGCGAAAAAATGTCCTTGGTCGCTAGCGGAATAGACTTTTAAAAATATTTTCCAACCAATCAAAACAGCAGGACGGGCGGACACGTCACAATATTTTGGACAAGCCCGAGACTTCTGTGTCACCACATGCACGAGCTGGGTACAGCTCACTCTCTCTACCGCAACAGCTAGGATCGGGATGCGGTTTGTTGCGGTGTGTGCGCACAACCCAAAGGAAGCGATCACCGGTTCAGTTTTTCGAGCTCAACGGGAAAAAAACGAGAAACCTGGCCAAAGGCCTTTCAAATCCAGTATAAAACGTATGTTCTCAGTCTTCCGGGGTGCGGACAAAAAATACAAACCGGGTGATTCATAGAGTATGATCTGTAGACAGGTGTCGCAAAGGTTGAAGAGCTAACTCTCCACCTGGGGCCAGCACTTTTGATTGGTAAATCCCGGTCTCAATCCAAGATAATAATACTTCGGCCACCGAGTCAGGAAAAAAAAAAAGTTTTTTGGGCTGGTTGTTATGCCGATATTTGCTGGTCGTTAGTGGTCTAATCTCGAGGTCTAACTGTTGCGAAAAGCTGCGCAAATATTTGATTGCAGTCAACTACTGTTTTGAAAAGCTGCGCAAATATTTTGGTTCCAGTCAACTACTGTTGCGAAAAGCTGCGCAAATATATGGTTCCTGTCAATTGCTGTCTTGAAAAGCTGCGCAAATATTTGGTTCGGAGCAACTACTCCCGGAGGCAACTCTCTGTCAACTATTCATATTTGTCCTGACAATTATTTTGAACATTTTGTGCTTGAAAGCGAGGGGACGGGGGATCGGAGGGAGCCCAGCCTGATGTCATTGGAAGGAAAATTGAGATTGGTTCCGGAAACGTGTATCCTCGAATCAATAGTGCGTGCATGTATCTGAGCCACCGTCATCGAGACGTAAATCAACAAGATGAAGTCAATCAAAGCGACAAAAAACAGTTTTGCCCCGACTATATGTTTATGCTACATCACGTCCATCATCATTGTTTACGCGAATTGAAGCCACCCAGGACGAAGAAGAATAAATTGCAATAGACCAACCGACCAACATCCCGGTAATCCTCTCATGACCAGAGACCACGGTCGTCTCGTGACCAACAAGTATCGGCAACTACTTTCCAGGAATGTTGAGCAAATATTCGATTGCAGTCAAGTACTGCTTCGAAAAGCTGAGGAAATATTTGGTTCCAGTCAACTACTGCTTTGAACAGCTGCGCAAATATTTGGTTCCAGTCAACCACTGTTTTGAAAAGCTGTGCAACTATTTGGTTCCGAGCAACTGCTGTCTTGAAAGCTGCGCAAATATTTGTGTGCAGGCAAATACCCGTAATAGTTAATTACACTCAAATAAAAGTTGTATTTTCATTGATATTTGTACAGGGCGTGATCCTTTGGCTTTGGCGTCGCTGAGGAATCATGGTCAGCTGATTTCGCGGCATATAAATATTTTAATCTCTCTCTCGGCCCTCTTTTCTTCCTTTCTTCGCCACTGCCCCCCTACTCCGCACGGTTGTGCCCCCACCTTGTGGTCGTGTAAAGAGCTTGGTGGGCAGGTCTCTCTACGCCGCGACGGGCCTCCGGCTCCCGGGGTCTGAACTGCTGGACGCGGCCGACGCCTCGCACTCCGCCTTCGGGCTGAAGAAGCTGGCCGTCTGCACCACTGCCGCCGGCAAGATGTTCGCTCTCGACATGGCCGACGGCTCGGTTACGTGGTACGCAAGGTGTTATTGCGTGTTGATTCGATCTTTCTGCCGGCGGGANGGGGGGGGGGGGGGGGGGGGGGGGGGGGGGGGGGGGGGGGGGGGGGGGAGGGGTCCGCCGCTGGTGTGAAAGATGGGCCGCTAGATGTGTGCCTGATGTTGACGTGTGCATGCCTGCCTTGTCATGAACGTCGTAGACGCGACTCCCGTGGTGCACGCATCCTTCGTCATGCCGCGTTCGTCTTGCGTTGGATCAAATTCACGACCGGCGAATCCAATCGTGAAGTGGACTGACTCCGTGTACACGAAAGCACCTTGCGCGGCCATCGCATTTGTTGCACCATGCGATCAGCGTCTCATCATCCCCATCCACATGCCAACCGTCCCATTGTTACACCATGCCATCAGCGGTGCATTTTATGACGGTAGTAACACCCGCGGAATCGCGTAACGGCGCCCCCAGGTCCCTATTCCGCCCCTCCTGGATGCCCTCGGGCGCCAAGGTTCTCCTTCACGCCACACGCAGCAAAGGTGCCTTGGGCTACAGTCCCGAGGTGGCCGTGATCGCCGTGGGGGAGGTCAAGACCGTAGTTTCGGGACTCGACGCGCTCACCGGCCTTGAGACCTACCGCGAGGAGCTGGACCTGAAGGTGGATTCTGCGGTGCCCCTGGGCGTGAAGGACGGCCAGGAGCGGAACATCATCATGCTGGTCGACAGGTAGTTCGGGTAGGGGAACGCTAGGGGGGTAGTACTTTGCGGAGTGGTCTACAATTAGTGCTTCCGATTGTTCTTGTTTTCAATTTGGTTTTCACGGTGTTTGGCTCGCCTCTGGCCCGTTCTGCCCACCTTCATAGGTGTACGATCAGTCCATATCCGTGATTTGAAGGATATCCTCGAGGTTCGCCTTGTCCGACTTACTTGATCTACGGTGTGTGTTCCGGAGCAAGTTGGTTCGGGACCATGTTTTTCGTCCTTGGGACTGCAAAAACACGCGCCGGACACTAAATCCTCCGACCTCCCCCGCCTCCTCTCCTTGCAACTCCAGCCACAGGCAAGTTCACGCGGTGCCCCGTTCAGCGGAGGCCTCGAGTGCTCTCCGCGGCCTCCTGCCGCATCTCTTCTACCACAGCCTTTCGGAGACCGGCCTGGAGAGCTTCAGTGTGGTGTCAACCGCTCCGGGGGATGAAAGCGACATGGATGAAGGCCCGCTTGGTTCGGCGACTGTGGCATCCGTACCATTCAACCCTAAACGGTAAAGGGTCGCAGATGTCGTTTTGGACAGAGGGTGGGCGGGG